CTCTGGTATGGCCAGTAAACGGTTGAGTGACCCGTGCCCAATCTTCTCTTTGACAGCCCATTGAGCTATTTCCCAGTCAAGCCGAGAGGAAAATGGGTGGTAGCCTGTATTAGACAAGTCTGTCTTTGCACCAAACAATCTATCCCATTGCTATTGTATGTTCTCCTCTAAACCTGTAGAGAGGACGGCGCCGGCAGTCTCATCCCAGTCAATGACTCAAGCTTTGGGAACATCACTGAGTTGGCAGATAATAGGCGAGTCAGGCGGAATTGAGGTAACAGGCTCCGGAGGCTAGAGGTAATGAGCATTACGTTCATGCAGCAAGTCTTGCCACTCTGAATATTCCTCCATGATTACATCTATCAGAACCTCATCAACAATTCCATCCGTGTCGACCATCTCATCTGTGTTGACCATCTCATCCGCGTCGACCATCTCATTCGCGTCGACCATGTTGATGTCAGCCATATTATTGGTTTCAGCCACATTATTGACATTGACCATCTCATTGATGTCCCCTTCTTTGAAGATCAATGAAGCAATCTCACTGCGATCAGAAAAGATGGAGGCTGCATCACAAAAGACGGAGGCCGCATCATCATCATTGTTGTCGTCGGTGTCAGAATTGTCGTTGTTGTCGGAATCATCATTGTTGTCGGAATTGTTGTCATTGTCGGAATCGTCTTTGTTGTTGTAATCGTCGTCATTGTGATTGTCATTATTGACTTCGATATACTCAGCAGTAGTAGAGTTGCGATCATCCAGAGCTTCAGCTGGCATCGTGTGGGGGGGGGGGGGGGGGATGAGAAGGCAGACAAGGAATACCGCTTGGTTCAGGTGCCAGAGCAAAATCTAATGCATAATATTGCGCATTAAAGGCGTTTTGGTGCCCGGCTTGCTGAGAGTTGCGGCAGCCAGAGACTTTACATGAAAACTCCATTGGTGAGGTTGGAGATCTAGAAGACAACAAGATGGGAATGGGGCATAATAAATAGTCGACTCGGTGCGCAAAGCACATGGCAAAAATTGATGAAGGCACGAATCGATAAGAAGTGCACCCAGGAAGGAAGATTGGGGCATAATAGAGAGAGCACATGTCAAATTTTCAGAATCAATGAAGGCATGGATCGATAAGAAGTGCACACAGGAAGGAAGATTTATTCTTGGAATCGAAGTATTAATCACCCGCTAAAGTTTTATGGAATTGACCAATTACTGGCCGGTAGAAAGGATTGGGTGTGAACGGGAAATGAAGGCGATCGTCGCAAAGTTACACAGTGGCCTGCAAGTTAGGGTGAAAAGAACAAGACTCGGAGGTCGGCTGATCACAGCCCTGATTGGCATTGATAGTAAAACAATTCCTTGACATTGACCATGGAAGTCTCGATTTGTAACAGGGACTTCTGAGCTCAGAGGTCTCTGTTGCAAATCGAAATGTTCATGGTCAAGTCAAGAGAACTTCTACGAATCGACGCAATTATGGTGAAGTCACCTGAACCCTAAGTCTGATATGCTGGGATCCATGATCTTCAAGTTGGGAGACGTATCGAGCAGCTAAAGCCGTTTATATGCATTCTGGACTGGGACAATTGTTAAAATTGGTTGTGTGGCGAATAAAACTATGAAGTTCAACGCCATAGTTCACTGTTGGGCCAGCAAGCAACGGAGAGAGTGGAGAGAGCCAGGGGAGAGAGCCAGCGGCCCAAAGGGCGCGCGCCGACAGAGAGGGAAATTGGCGTTGATGCAAGAAAATGAGGACAGACAGAGATTGGTCTGTGATAGAGAGATGCATTCTCGATGGAGAGAGAGAAGAGCTCATTGAAGAGCTACATAGAGGCTGAATACAGCCTGCAAGCCCTGTCAAAAGGTGACCTCGGAATGATACATGCAACAAACAGTCGCAGTGCTGCATGACTAGATAAACACATTATCAATGTACCTCTGAGAAATGACACAACTCACCTTTGCCCGGTTTATAGGAACCTATTCAGAAAGATTGCTACCAACAGGCAATTGAAAACAGTTCAAGTGAGATGCTTGACGTGCTGGTTTGAGCCGGCATTGTGTTTCAATCTACAAATAAAATATTGTGAATTCAACACCAATCCAAGTTTGAAGACACTTACCAAAGTCAAAGTGGACATTAGGGGCGAGAATTCCTTGAAGGGTATGCAGATGAATTTACAGCAGCTGAATATAGCCTGCAACTTGTTTCAAAAAAGAAAGACTTGGAATCCAGCTGGCATTAATAGCAAGGAAGGCATTTAGAGATGATGCAGTGTAAAATCCACTAAAAGCCTAGCAATGGTTGAAAGGCTACTAGGGGCTGAATACAGTGTGCAAATCGGGTCAAAAGCTGTAAAGCAAGACTCGGAACTCGGCTGAATACAGCCTGAAATTGGGGATGATGCTAAGACAGCACGAGAAAGCAAGCACACTGCTGTATGAGGTCAGTTTGGATAAAGCGAGAGAGGACAGCTCCTTGATTACATGGTGGAAGAAAGAAGGAACAAATGGCCAATCCAAAACAGTCACCCAAATCAGATTGTTGTCATTGGCGCCTTCATGAAAGCAACCGGTCATAGTAAACACGACCTCTCCCCAAGATACACATCTTCAGCTTCAACGTTCAAGGACGGTGATATTCACATGGACAATAAAAGTGTATATGTAGATGCAGGCCCATGATTACATCCTGAAATTTGAATTTCATCGGTACCTCAACCTCAAGCGATGACATGGCACTTACCGCTCACAAAACTACCCTGCACTTCTGCAAGGTTCAGCATTAGCAGTGTTGGCAAAGTCAGGGTCAGAAATCAGACCTCGGACCTGACCCACCGGGTCTGACCCAAACTCTGATGCGGCAGTCAGACTAGGGTCAGCGCAGTAAGCGTTTAGCGCTTCATATAGCTCATAGGCGCTTAACAAATCACAGGAAGTTTTGCTAGGACAGCCACCAACGTCCGGAAATTTCCATCACCAGGCCAAAAGTCAGACCTTTTGACCTCGACTCGGCAACGGATTTGATCAGACCGTGGGTCTGACCCAGGTCTGACAGGGTCAGTGACAACACTGAGCATTAGACTGCATATCTAGAAAGGTTTATGGAAAAGACTTGCCTCAACTGTACCATTCCTCCTCAACGTCAGGTGCAGCGTGGGCATGGAGCAGATTGTCATGGCGTGCTTCCAGGAGCTGCTACTTCGGAGCAATCGGCTATGATGGTCCCTAGCCCAGGTCGCACATCCGCCAGCAAAGCGTCGAGTTCATTGAAAAAAGCGTGGCATGATGATTGCTGTGTCCGAGGTTGACGAGCGCCACAAACCTCCAGCTGATACATTTTGGGGAGCCAGTTGGCACGGTCTGGAGCTTGAGACCGGTCAAGAAGAAAATGTTCATCCGCTCTGTCCATGAAGGCTACATTGGGAATGAATCTACGCTTCAGCATCTCTATCCGTTTCATCTCTGCTTCAGACTCCTTGTGAGACAGGGACCGTCCTTCATCGCAATTATTGTTAGAAGGAAGAACATCGTTTTCAAACGGGAGGAAAGTCTTGGAGGCCTCAGATGCAGCAAAGTTGTGTGCATACAAATCAAATGAATCTACAAGATGTTTTTGAAGCGCAAGGTAAGATACTGTACATAGGATTGGGAGCATCCCGATACGGGACAGTGGAACCCATTCCCTGAATTCATTGTGGATGAGCGAGAAGTAGAATGAAAGAAAGATCAAGGTGTCCATAAGTTATAACAGCCTGCGGCGTGAGATGAACGGAGATGGCCGCAATGAAGCATCTGGAAGAAGCGCAGCATGTGCTGTTTGTTGGGTAGAGTATGTGGGATCAATAGCATGTAAACATAATGCCAATAAGCACGAGCAAATGGTCAGCTGGACAGTGGGTTGTGTCCAATCTCACCCTAGATAAAGTAGTGGTAAGGAAGAGCCATCAGTTAATTGGATAAGGCTTACCCCAGTATCACAACGAGAAGCGACTTTGTATGCCCTACTGTAAGATCGCGGTACAGCTCACAGTGTTGTACCATCTCCAGGAATATGGGCAGCTAAATGAAAGGAAAGGCATGGTTAAAATGATGTGATCCAATGACATGGATCGAGAAACACACCAGAATAGAAATCCAGGGAGGTCCTGAAGCATACCATGCAAAGAGGATGCATATAAAATGATTTCGAACAACTGAGCGCAGCCCGCAAAACACTCAACGGATCCACTTAAACGGGAAGATGGATTTGCCAAACCATGCAAGTGAGACTCTCGAATAAGACACTTGAATAGAAGAAATGGATACAGTGAGCTGTAATTTTGTGATTGACATTGGTGAGACGTGAGTTCAACACCATTGGAGATGTTCACCGAGTAGTATTAGTATAGATATCAGAACGCGCTTCAACTGGGCAATTGTTGTATCGCTAGATTGAAGGCTGAATTTACTGCAGGTGAAAATAGCAAGTTGAGATGAAGTTGGATTTGGGGTTCGGCTGAGTACAGCCTGAATGAGATTGGAGTTGATGGTCAACGGAAAGAAAGCCATTAAGTGAATGCGTAGAGCATCCGAAGGCGTTGTAGATAGATAGAATAAATTTCCCGATAGCGGCTGAATACAGCCTGCAAGTTGTGTCGAAGTTGGATTTGGGGTTCGGCTGAGTACAGCCTGAATAAGATGGGAGTCAATAGTCAATGGAAAGAAAGCCATTAAAGCAAATACGTAGAGCATCCGAAGGCATTGTAGATAGAATAAATTTGCTGATAGCAGCTAAATACAGCCTGCAAGTTGTGTCGAAAATGAAAAAGATTCGGCTGAGTACAGCCTGAAATCAGTGTGGCACGAAAAGACGATAAGGAGAGATTTAGAGAGAGACAGAGGGATTACATGATGGAAGAAACAAAGGACCCAAAAAAGATCACACTATCTTCATAGAATGTAACAGTGCTCAACCAAGATTATTAATATATATACAAGGCTTTGAACCAAAAAAGCGCCTCAGAAGGGATTGGAACCCATCTCACCTACTCGTAAATGGACTTGGGTTTATCACATATTATGTTGAGCGGGTATGATAACCTCTACACCACTGAGGCATATTTAGTTATGATTTTATATAGACTAACAGAGCCACATGTACAGATACTACAGTCTACACTTCAGTAGTAGAGCCTTCACCAGCACGATTCAGCCCTCTTTGCTCCCGTTCCCTCTTTCTGTCGTAATCTCTCCTGCCATTCAACTATAGCTATCCTCCTCCGGAAAAAGTGTATAGTGCTTTTAGTTGGACGGGTTCTCAGAATCACATTCAACAGCACGCTACATTGTGATACCACAGTAGAAAACGACATCAACAAGAGCAGAATGGCAAGAACATCGGTGATAGACACCAACACAGAGTATTTACCGAGAGAGTGACCAGCAAAGGCACAGTCTGTCTGGACAAACCCTTTGGAACCCATATCTTCAAATGCCGCTTTCTCGGTAACAACTAGCGCGACCTGAGCAAATGTGGAATCAGACAGAAAATTGATGGGATAAGCACACCATTTGAACTTGGGTTGCAATAGAGGGAACTACCTAAGAAGAAAATGATCATCACTTTCTTTGATTGGTGCAGAGCAACTTACCACCAAAAATCAACGCTGGGGTTCATCGACGGTGTATGCACCTCGTTCCATGGCCTCACATCCAACCTCACCTAATCTAACCCTAATCCTCTTGAAGACAGTACGATAGGTATTGGATTCATCTTCTGGGCCCAGAGAAAAGAGGCAACAAAGGCAGGGAAACAAAAACCAGAAGCAGGATACGTTGAAGGGCTTAGCAAAAATGGGGGTAAGAGCAAGAAAAGGCATGTTGTGGGTTATGATTAGAAGAAGCATGTGTACAACAAGTTTTTGCCACTATATACCAGGATCAAAGTCCACCTTTGTCCACTTCGTCCAACAGTTCCTGAGCCAGTCTCAAACGCTTACCAACCATATCATTAGTGAATCGTAGCTGGTGCGCCGCATCCAAGCTTACATCCACAGCACCAAGGTTGATGATATGTTTGAGGTGCCAAAGCATATGGACACCACAATCGTATGTATTAGGCTGGAATGGGACCTGAGACAAAGTGATTAATGAAAGAACAAAGGCAGAGTGATTAGATGTGATGTACTTTGGCATGGGGGTTGAACTTCCAGTCAGCCAAGTCACCTCTTATATGGACTTCTTCATTATTGGAACAAATGGTGGCCAAGGTCTCCGCAAGCCACATCAGAACCTAAAAAACAATTAGCCATTGCGACACTATCTTGTTTTACACAAGTACCAGCATTAATTGTTTATTTTTGTGTTGTTCTGGGGGTTCGCAGCGATTCGCTACACACAAGTCTCGGAGACTATCATGAATATTGATACACTTTCGTTTAAGTCAATGCAAGCTGAATACCAATGGTCTTGGTTGCCATTGAAAGGAATAAAAACTTGATCAAATGTGTTAAGTTTTTGGCGTCGCTGAAGGTCAAATGTTAGACTCAACGTTAACCTCGAAGAGAGCAAGGCTTACCTGGGTTTTACGCGCCCATTTCAATAGGTAATCTCTGAGCGCATTGTCCCCAGCCAACTGGTCGATAGCATGAACCATGTTACAACTGCCATGATCTTGGAATAAGAATTTGATTGGAAAAAAAGAATTCAGACCCAGGGTCGCGCGAGACCGGGTACACCATTTGTCAACGAAGTGGTTGATAATTTTGTTGTCCACCCATTGACCAACTCCCAACGTCCCAAAATGTGTCCATGACACAAACTTTGTAATAACTGAACTGTTGCCTGTATATTGCATTTGGGACTGCTGTGAAATTCAGAAGGAGCCACGATCAGTACGAAGGCGCCACTTACCGAGTCGATGAGATCCCTAAGCTTTTCCTTACTTGCATCAGGATGGTTATCAAGCATTCGCCAAAACTCAGACTGGGTTGTTTTTTGAATGCTCAAGGCCACCTTCAGCAATTCATTTAAGTTGTTGACCACAGTACGAATCAATGGATCGGAGAAGGTAGCGGCATGACGTTGAAGACAAAGAAAAATTTTGGATCATAATTTCCGAGCTTCTTTTAGGACATTGATACACCGACCAAGAAAGGAAAGTTGAGTGGTGAATGTGTAGTTGTTAAGCCCGTGCAGCCCAGATCGAAGCGGCGGGAAATCAATCGCAAATCAATCGTGGGAATCGACCGATGTCGATCAATCGATGACCTGGGTTGGACCTTTGAAGTAACAGGACTTGGCGAAGCTATTAGCAACACCCTTAACACACTGTAATGTGTCCCAGAGGAAAGGAGTGGAAGAAGGGCGGAGCGGAGTGAACACACAGCCGCAAGTCAATCGCAAATCGATCGCAATGTCAATCGATTGATCGGCGGAGATGTCGGAAATAAGAATAGAGAAGATCAGCTAGGCTAAGTTGATTTTTGAACTAAAGTTACGATACATGGTATACTACTTAAATACTAGTGAGTTCGGATAAACGGATAAATGTAAAGAACAATAAGTAATATATATCCGGGAGTGTATTCAGTAAGTATAACAATAAAGTAATTCAGTAAGAAAGACAAAAAAATATAAGAGGAATAAAACAATAAGTATCGGAAAGTGTGTCCAAACATGATAGGGATGTTTCCGAAAGGTAAAGGGCAGCTATCAGATTGATACGTCGATTGATCGATGGCGATTGATCAGAAATCGGCAGCGAGTGTTGGACGTCGGCAACGAGCAGTGATGCTTGTATGGATATAACAGTAGTTACACCAAAAGGTTGATTGATCAATGGCAAGTGATCAGAAATCAGCAGTAAGTGTCGGAAATGATCGGTGATGATAGCATGGATATAACAGTAGTACAATTTTTTGTCAAGAACGTGGGCAGCAGGACCTTCACTTGAAGTAGCCTCAAACAAATGTTCGCAATCAGCAAATGCAGGTCTATTTTTGCGCACTAGATTTGAAGATCCAGGAGGTATTGATTCAAGTAAGGTCATATTGGTGCTGGAAGCAACGGGGGTAACTTATTGCTCCTCCTCAACATGGTTCCTCTTCGTATTCACCTTCCTCCTCAATGCTACAATTTTTTTGTGAGCAATCAATTGATTCAATAGAAGGAAGATAATGTACGTAGCATCTTGGTATTGCTGACATTCAGCAACCAAATCTTGCATGTTTGACTCGGCTTTGGTGAACTGGCCCAGAGATATCAACAATTGTTCGATACCTCCATCTCATCCATACCCTCTTGAGTGTCCCAATGCAAGAAAGCCTTACGCTTGAACATGGCGGTGAACTGGTTGCTGACATTCTTGAAGAGTTCTTGGATGGCAGTCAAGTTACCCAAGAAGATGACGGTCATCTGAGGGCCCCTTGGAGCAACCTCACACTGCGCACTGAGGAAGTTGTTTGGGATCCATTCAACAGAGTAAGCTGAGTTCTTGTTCTGGATGTTCTGAATCTGTTCCTCGACCTCCTTCAAGGACACCTTTCCACGGAACACAGCGGCTATAAACTCGGTCAGAATCACTACTAGACCCTGTAAGATCTGACATACAGTAAGGTGACAACCATGTCTTGGATCTGAGGCAGCCATCATGTTCTTGGCATTGAGCATCTGTGAAGTGAGCTCAGGGACGGTCACAGTGCGGTATTGTTGGCTACCGCGAGCAGTTAATGGAGCGAAAACGGTCATGAAGAAGTGGAGATGAGGGAAAGGAGCTACCAAGGACTGTGAGCTTGAGCGACAGCAGAAGTTGAAAACACCACTCGCCCATGTTCACGGCCAGTTTTCTTAGGTCAGAGTCACACTGACCAAGGAAACGCAAGCAGGTCGTAATACCAGACATAACAAGAGACGAGGTGGTTGAGGTCACTGTATGTCATGTCAAAAGCTTGAGAGTCCTGAAGCAAATATCGTTATTGACACAAAAAGTTTTGTCAGAGTTTTTGACGAGCTGGTGGACTGAGAGCATGGCATTGTAAGGCTAAAATGACAAAGCGTAAGAGGCATCCTCGTAATACAGCCTGAGACAGTGTTGATGCAGAATAGAGCGAGAATCCCTTCAAGGGTGTGCAGAGGAATGTACAGCGGCTGAAGACACCTGCAAGTTACATTGAAAATGAAGCCTGAGACTGGCCCAAATCCGGCTGAGTACAGCCTGAGACTGCGTTGAAGCATATGTGAGCCTGGATAGCACTTCTCTATGCTTCCAAAACAGTCCTCTCCAAATAATCCTCCATCCTTCATCTCGCGGTGAACTGGGGCAGGTGCTTGAAGTGGCTTGTTTATGTCTAGCACCGTAGGCTTCTTGTTGTTTGGTGAGATCGTAAACGAGCACCTATAAGCTGGTAGTTCAACCTGGATAAGGGATGGTTTGGATGAGGAGATCATTGTGTTTGATTAAAAGACGTGGGTCTCGTATTTGGAGAGCTCCATGCCGGTTGTGCCATCAAAAACCCGAAGAGGCGCTTCAAGGCCAATGCCAATGGAAGATACGGAAGAAGAAATCGGAATTGCGCTTATCGATCCATGTGAAATCAGAAAAATTGCCATCCTTACCGTTTACCACCATCATGCTCACCCAAACTCAACCAGATACCTCTTCCTACCGCCAGACACCCCATCAACAGCCGGAAGGTGCGCTAATATTTGGACTGCTCTGATTTACACTAACGGCATTGCAAACAGGTCTATTCTATGCCAAGGACGTTTCGACCTTCATACAGAAAGAGCTGGAAGACTTGATGGTAAGATCTGCTACCTATTATCTTTAAAAAAAAACTTAAATGGTTGCAGACCAACTTCAATTTGTCTGTTGAGGAAGCCTCACTAATGGCCAAAATTGCTCGCCAACAACAGTGGCTCTTTGCAGACAAAAACAAGCTCCTTGAACACAAAATCCTGCTAACCAAACTCCTTCTGGAACTCCATCAACAGCGTTTAAGCCAAGTCACACGCCAGGCCTTTCAGGCTGCAGACATCAAGTTGAAAATCAAGAGTTATATAAATCAGTTTCAGAAGCCCTCACCCTCGAGTAAGCACTACACCATCCAACGTGGGT